CGTGAAGAACTTTAAAAACAAGGATGACAGTTCTATACATAAAATAATCATTAATTGGCATCCATCTCAGTTGTAAAAACATTTCCGATGTAGGTGTATAAAAGTTGTATTTAAAATCACTCAAATTTGCCTACTTATCAAGATCTACCACTTATATAAGTGTGGTGGCTTAATCTCTTACCGTTTACGAGATCTAGCTATGATAACTTCTCATTTTGAGGACAGAGAATCACGCGACCGGAAGTGAATTTTACAAAGATATTTGACGTTACTGTAGACATCTGCAGTCTGAATAACATATCTAAAAATCATTTCAAATACATTACGCATAAAAAATGTTTATGGGAGAGAAAAATACTGAAAATATGCAGTTTTTCTCTTATAACCGGAAGTTGTCGTTTTTGTTTCCGGTGGGACTGATATATTTCGAAACTACAAGCAAGATGCTATAATGTGATGCAAAAAAAGTTTCAAAAGAGAAAAGTTGAAATTTTTGATTTCTTTGATCACTTCCTGTGACGACCGGAAGTGACGGCGGACAATCTTAACCCAATTAAACTTGCCTACTCATCAAGATCTATTATTCATATAAGTTTGGTGTCTTAATCTCTTAACGTTTTTTAGATCTCACTGGGATAAAATATTTTTGAAAAAAGCGGAAATCGGACATATCTGACGACCGGAAGTGAATTTTGAAAAAATGAAAAAAACGCCTGGGCGTATTTAAGTTCTCCATCATCCCTGAAAATTTCATGAAAATCTGTCCAGCCATCTTTGAGAAATCTTGCCGACAAGATTTGGGGAAAAAAATAATAATAATAATAATAAGAACTAGATACTCTTGTTGCTACAGCAACAAATAAGGTCTTCCGTTTTTCTCTATTTATCTGTAAGAAGGATATTTTTCTATTAGAAAAAAAATAAATAAAGGACAAAATGCAAAAAAAGGAAGAATTCTCGATCTAGGCTTGATCCCAAAACCATTAGAATGAAAGTCGGACACGCTAACCACTGAGCCATCGAGTTCGACAACAAAAAAAGTTTTTTGTAAACTTATCATTTTCAGGTTGAAGGAAGTAGTTTTGTAGTGAAAGAAATAGTTTCGTAGTAAAGTCCCGGTCAAATTTCTTAAAAAATTGAGATTTTCCCTGTTTGATGTGATATTTGATGTAGAAAAATGATTAGAATAGTTATGAGACACATTTGCAGTGAATCAGAGTGCTTGATGAAAAAAAGAATGATGTGCAACACGTATGATGTTGCTATGACACTTAGCATATGCAAAGCTGTAAATGCAAAACTATTGCACGTGGTCAGTTGCAGAGGAAATTAAGCTGAAAAGCCGCAAGCTTTAGAAGATCGTGAATGACCCCATATCAATTGGGGAATTTTTTTAGGGCATAGATTGAGTTACAGTATACTGGGAGTTTTACCCTGCTCGGAAAAACAACCCAAAATCTGGGTAGTCCCGGGGTGCATTTTTGGTACATGTGCACTCTACAAGGCAGATTACATGTAATTTGTTGTCATAATTTGTGAGTCACGGGTATTTTCTCCACACTGCAACGTACAAAGTGTACAAAACTACAATCTATCTAACCAATCTGAATTGCATAGAAATTCATTTGATAGGAAAAATTATTTCCGAGATTCTTTCAATTAATATTAAATGTAAATAAAATTGAAATAAATTCTACATGTAAAAGAAATCAAGAATACTTGGTATTGAAATATCGTATTAGAGCAGGAGAATCGAATGCTGTTGACAAAAACTGAAGAAATAGCCAATGCAAGTTTTAATAAATTTTGAGGCTCATCAGCACCTAGATTTCAGACAGAAAAAAATGTTCATCTTTCCAATAGTCCTTAGAATTTCATTATGTACTTCAGAGACCCACCGTTACACTCTCAGGACACTTTCTTTGATGTGTCTTCTACTGCAATCTTTAAATTTCATGTCGATATTTGGTGTCGTTTTTTTATATGTTGGTATTAATTTTTTTCGAGAGAGAAAAAGGGGGAGGTGGGGTATATTGGTATTTGTTAAATTGAGAGATGTAAATATGTCCACGAACTCAAGCTTGATTTTGACCTTTGGGTGAATGGGGTTAAAGGTCAAGGTCATTTATCGAGGTCAATTTCAAGGTCATAAAAACCCTTATAAACTTTAGTTTAACACTTGAAGCTGAATCAAGCTAAATATAATAAAGATTTTTTAGACTCTTGAGTAAGGTCAAGGTCAAATATCAAAGTCTAAGGTCAAGGTAATTTGGGGGAAAGACATATGACAGCAATTGTAATACTTTTCCAAGGTTTATTAATAAATTCATATCAGTTTATTGTCTTGATCTGTTACCATTGCCAAGATCTGGCTATGCTTACTACTCAGTTTGAGGACCGGAAATCATGTGACCGGAAGGCAGTTTTTAAAAAGATATTTGTAGTTACTCGATACATTTGCCATCTGAATAAAGTGTCCAAAATCATTTCAAATACTCATTCTATAAAATATATTTATGGGATAGTATGATACTCAATTAATAAAGTTTTTCTCTCATAACCGGAAGTTGCTGTTTTTGTTTCTTTTGGGACGGACATATATCGGAACAACAATTAAGATGCAATAGTGTGATGCCAAGAAGTATTCCTAAAAGAAAAGTTAAAATTCATGATTTCTTTGATCACTTCCTGTGACGACCGGAAATGACGGCAGACAATCTTATCTTAATTGTTTTTGCCAACTCCTCAAGATTAACCACTTTATTAAGTTTGGTGTCTTAATATCTCACCGTTTACGAGATCTAGCTATGATAACTTCTCATTTTGAGGACAGGAAATCACGCGAACGGAAGTGAGTTTTGCAAAAATTTCTTGACGTTAATGTAGACAGTTGCAGTCTGAATAGCATATCCAAAAATCATTACAAATACTTTATAAATAAATGATATTTATTGGAAAGAAAAATACTGAAATTATGTAGTTTCCCTCTTATAACCGGAAGTTGTCTCTTTTTGTTTCCAGTGGTACTGAAATAATTGAAAACAACAAATAAGATGCTCTAATGTGAGGCTAAAACAGTTTCATAAAAGAAAAGTTGAAAATTTCGATTTTTTGGATCACTTCCTGTGACGACCGGAAGTGACGGCGGACGATCTTATCACAACTGATTTTGCCTACTTATCAAGATCTATCACTCTAGATAAGCTTGGTGTCTTTATCTTTTACCGTTTACGAGATCTAGCTATGATAATTTCTCATTTTGAGGACCGAAAATCACGCGACCGGAAGTGAATTTTACAAAGATATTTTACGTTACTGTAGACATTTGCAGTCTGAATAACATATCCAAAAACAATTTCAAATACATTACGCATAAAAAATGTTTATGGGAGAGAAAAATACTGAAAATATGCAGTTTTTCTCTTATAACCGGAAGTTGTCGTTTTTGTTTCCGGTGGGACTGATATATTTCGAAACTACAAACAAGATGCTATTATGTGATGCAAAAAAGTTTCAAAAAATAAAAATTTAAAATTTTCGATTTCTTTGATCACTTCCTGTGACGACCGGAAGTGACGGCGGACGATGTTAACCCAATTGGTTTTGCCTACTAATCAAGATCTATTACTCATATAAGTTTGGTGTCTTTATCTTTTACCGTTTCTGAGATATGACTCGGACAAAACTTTTTTGAAAAAAGCGGAAATCGGACATAACTGACGACCGGAAGTGAATTTTGAAAAATTGAAAACTGCATTTGAAAGATATTTTGACATTCTATCATCTCTGAAAATTTCATCTGAATCTGTCCAGGCATCTCTGAGAAATCGTCAAAACAAAAAGGGAAAAAAATAATAATAATAATAAAAAGAAAAAACAGTAGAATCACTATAAGGTCTTCCGTCTGAAACGGAAGACCTTAAAAAACAGTAGAATCACTATAAGGTCTTCCGTCTGAAACGGAAGACCTTAATAAAAGTGAAAAAGAAACCTAAGAATAACAAGAAGGTCTTCCGCTGAAGACGGAAGACCTTAATAATAATAATAATAATAATAATAATAATAATAATGATAAGAAACCGAGTAAAAACACTATGTTCCCAAACTCCGTTTGGGGAACATAATAACATGATTGTCATCCTGATTTTTTATATACTACTTTATAACATTTTCAACATTGAAACACTGTGATTCATATATGTATTGAATAAAGGTGATAAAAGTCAAAAGATATCAAAATGATATCCTTTCACAGCATGACCTCTGCCCATTTTACAGCAGAACGTAAAGGATGATAATAACTTTTACTTTTTCTCTGATTTTCTTTTTTCAAAGAATTTAACAAGATATATTTTTGGTTCGAATTTCTAACAGCATTATTATTTTAGCAAAAATTAAAAAAAATAAGTATTATATATATCGTGTCAAATACTGATGGACTTTTTCATACTAATTTACAAACTCAATTGTCTACAATTTTTTCCTTTTACCGACCATGACAAGGAGCACACTTCGGGTTTGAACGGTCGACAGGGAATGCTTACTACTCCATTGCACTTAAATCACCTCTGAAGTTTTAGAGGCCAGCGTTTGCTCTACTCGATCCTGATTTGCATTCGTTAAATGAACTAAGCTTGAAAACTGCTCGTTATCAATATATCTCATGAATAAAAAATATTAGCTCTCATTGCGTAGGGTCAGATCATTATTATTTATACCAATAAGAGCGTCTAAAACACCCTTGTCTGTAATTTATGAAAAATGTGAATATAACGCGCAGTAAACTAGACACAATACAATTCTGTGAACAGAGCATAACAGGGACCCATATAAATTCCAGAGATGGGATGAGGTACCTAGGAGAAGTAAGCGTCCCCTGTTGACCTGTCATACCCTGCCTAGAGACCTTTGTATTGATAAAGTATATGGAACATTCTGTAGTCAAATTCAGCACAAAACAAAGCTCTATTAAGTCAGCCAAACCACTAGCAAATTAAAGTTTATGCAAGATAATCTTGTCGTTCTATATATCTGTACACACACAGTCTGTTGATGTGGCCTGATCCCATCCAAACTAGGTGATTTTTTTCGTCATATCCCAGACCCAATGGTGTAAATATCCCATCTTGTTTTGTTGATAGAATTGACAGCAGGAGACCGTCCTTGTTAATCATGTGTATTGTGTGATCCGTTCGACTACAGATCAGTATATTTAAGAATGTGTCTACGCAGGTTCCATGTGGAACAAAGAACATCCATGGAAATACTTTTGATTGTCCTCTGTAAGTGAAACGATAATTTCCATTATGGTCTGTGACCACCACGCCACGCCATGCATCGGAAACAATAATATCTCCATTATGGTTCTCTTTGATATAGATAGGTTCACTATATAATTTCTGGCCTGAGTTGTCGTACTGGATGATTTGTACTGGTTGTACATTACTGTTAAACCGAATGACTTTCACCACTGAGTTAATGATAGAGTTTTTTGTATCATATCTCATCATGACCAGCAAATCTCCAGTTGAGGCTGAGTGACAGATACACCATGGATCCCACAGTTCTGTTCTCTTTATCAGTGTCGACTTTGTAGCGTTGTCTGCACTTAGTTTCTTAATGTTCCAGTCCTGGTCTACATAAATTAGTTCTCCTGCATTGTTTACCGCATGTACACCATAATATTCATTTACATCTGACAAATGATGAAGACATTCACCTTTAGAATTTGTCAAAATTAAATTAAGTCCACCACTGACCCAAATTTTATCTTGTGTCACAAAAGAAATGTGAATACTATGAATTAAGTCAGTCACAGTAACATACTTCTTTAACATTCCTTTTTGCATCAGCTTTAACATTTTTTCAGCTCTAACTTTTCTTTTTTGTGTCTCTGTGATTTTGATTTCAACAAAAAAGTTCTTTATGTCTCTTTTATTGATTTCTCCCCATAAGCTGCATGTTATGTTATCTGGAAGTTCTTTTGGTTTGGGGACAGGGATTTTCTTTATGAACAACAGAAACCTGACAGACTTATTTGCCAGTTTTTCAAATCTATTCACATAATCCTTCATTTTTTGATGCTGTAAGGCAAAACTAATATAAGAATTTGTTTTTTCATTAGGTGCCTTACTATGCATATAGATAAGTTTTTTCAAGTTTTCTGCTTTCACCGTAAGCTTATGTTGGATGCTGGAAAATTGTGCTTTCAATGTTTTTACATCTTTTTTGACTAAAGACTTGAGCCTTGCTGAAATTGCACGATTGTATGGTAGAATATCACCTCTCATTTGAATGATTCGTTCTCTGTGTTCCTGTCTTTGAACCGTGCAGGCTAATTTGATATCCAGAATTTCATGATCTTGATGTTTATCATTTTTATCACAGATTGGACATTTACAGGATTTGCACCAGTTTTTATATTTGCAGTCTGGGTGTATATCACATAACTCTGGTGTTATAAAGTCTCTATGCTTTAAGCGGTATAGAACGACATCATCGTCTTTGGTATCGAGATACACGACGTGTTTCTGCTTACAAGGCATACAGAAATTTTGTTCACATTGTCTGCAGTAGAATTCCACATCCCTCTGACACTGACTGCATTGAAGCACTTTAATTTGTGTTGTGATATCCTTATTCATTGTGCTACTTAAATATATTTTCTCATTTAAATTAAAAATGTCGTTTCAAGGGACAGTCTACAATAAAACAAAATATAATGTATTCTTAGACATTAATTTTCGTGATAAGTAAAATGATTTAAGGATGACGTTTACTCAGGTTTCAGAAATCAGAGAGATAATTTTATAAAGTATAATATATTTAATCAAAAATTGTTTTATATGGATAAAATAACTAAGTTTTATTTGAATATCAATTTAAACATTTAATATGTAAGTCTTTGAAGAAAATATACAGGAACAAAACTCAATGTATGGCTATGCAGAGGAAATTCGAACTAAATTTTTAATTTTTGAATTTTTTTTTGGGGGGGGGGGGGGCAATATTAATCACAAAGTAAATATTATATGTATTTTAAGACATCAATTTGAAAAATTTATATGTGTTTAAGCTCATAAATTATTTCAAAAAAATGAATGTTATGACATCAAGAAATTCAAAAACACGTACAAAAACCACTCCAGTCAGCATATCTAAATAATTTGATCATTGACCCCATATAATATTAATACCATGAAAATGAGGGTTACAAAAGTAATCCGAGGCTATATAAATAATTTAGAGTTCTTATCACTCAGATTTTTGCAATACTTGATTAAAAATAGGAAAAAAAAAATAATTATGACAGAGGAGATTCGGACTGTAATAATTATCACGTTTACAGCCCAAAATCTACTCATTTCTTTATATAGAGAAACTCTGTTCCCTTGCCATAATATTTCATTATTTATTTTTGTTGCTCTTAGTGTGAAAAATTGAGGCATTTCCCGAGAAATACTCAAGGGCCCTAGCTTGAAAACGAGGTCATTGATCTAGTTATTTGAAATCGAAATTTAACACAAGAATCATAGGTGTACAATGTGCAATAGGTGGTATTTCGTTCTTATCAGTGGAATTTTCAGTCATCTGAGTAAAGGTATACCTAAAATTTTAAAATGTACGTCTAGTAAAATTGTTCACTAAAACAAGAATTTTAACCCCCTCAAAGTGAATAACAAGTTATTCGGAAAAAAGTCAGAAAGCAAGTATGTTTATAATCAAATAATTTGCAAATGTTTGTTGTATTTTTCTTACCTTTCAATGTCAGTAAATATTTGTTTTTTGAAATTGACTAAATAGGCTTGTTTTAAACTATGTCATAATAAAAGGAGTGTTTGAAAAATAGGAAAAAATAAGTGAGCATAATAATGCATGTATGATCAAGATAAAATAATTTGAAAACATTTTCCCTATTTTTCTTATCTTTCTATGTCAGTTAATGTCTCTGGTTTTATTGATCGTGGAGTACAACATGCAAAGCTTATCTCTTATTTTTACTAGCAAATTACTAACAAAGAAGTTGCATACTTTACCTATAATCAGCCATGCTAAAGAAAACGGTCTAAAATCAAGATAAACAGTATAGAAACCAAATAATTAAACAGTTATTCAACAACGTAAGAACTGTCCCAATGATTTAACCTTTCTTTCGAATTCTTAACTGACCCTGATAATATACGTGCGTAATATAATGTGGGAAGGCAGTTACTCAATAAAGTTCGACAGAAGGTAAAAATTCGGATTAAATATTAACTTCTAGAATAAATTCACCACATGTTTGTCAAACTGATCCTGAACACTTTTTGTACTTGACAAATTAAGTGTCCTAAAACTATTAGAAAAAGGTTAGTTAGCTTGAATTGTTCATATTAGTAATGGAAGAAGCAAAATCACATTATTCTTATCCTGATTTTTCATATAATACTCTATAACATTTTCAGTGAAATGTTGACATTTAGACATTGAATAAAATTATTTTGTTACAGTGTTAAAGGATATCAAGATGAGATCCTTTCAGAGTGTGATCTGGGACCTATTTTACCTAAAACCAAAAAAAGTAACAAAATTACAGGATGCTGATTACTTTCTTTAGTTTGAATTGAAAAGGATTTTAATCTTTTTAAAATAATTCAACAAGATATCTTGTGTTGGAATTTCTAACAACATTATTAATTTTGCAAAATTTTACAAACAACATAAGTATCATATATATAGAGTCAAATGCTGATCGACGTTTTTCATACTAATTTACACACTGAATTAACTACGAATTTCATTCACTTTTTAACCGATTATAACAAGGAGCACACGTAGGTATTACAGCTCGGTAAGGGATGCTCACTCCTCCATGGAATTGATCTCACCTCTGAACTTTCAAAAGCCAGCGTTTGCTCTGCTCCTGATTTGTATTCGTTAAACAAAACGATCTAAAAAACTGTTCGTTTTCTCTATATCTCATGAATAAAAAGAAATATTAACGCTCATTGTGTGTGGAGCAGATCATTGTTATTCATATAAATAAGGTTGTCCGCAATCTCCTTGTCTGTTTGTCTGTATATTTTTGAAAAAGGTGAAGATAACGAACAGTGATCGATCACTAAGATTACTCACAATACAATTCTGTGAACATCGCATAAGAGGGACACATGGAAATTACAGAGGTGGGATCAGGTACATGGGAGGAGTAAGCGTCCCCTGATGACCTGTCATACCCTGCCTTAAACCTTATTTATTGATCAGGTAAACGGAAAATTCCATAGTCAAATTCAGTAGAAAACCAAAGTTTAACCAAATTGTATGTTCAATGGAAACAAAAAAGGAAGTACACAACTGCACTATCTAATCTGTAACTCTGAATGGTATAGGGAGAGTTACAGATGAGAGATGGTATCCCTAATATTATAGAAAGAATAACAGTTTGGATTACCCTAAAAATTTCTGTCCACCATATTAACGCACTTTGATAAAAATGTGTTTATCTTGGTCAATATTCTTGAAAATCTTAGGTATGATAAATGATTGAACCTGTTGGATAACTTTTTGATGACAAGGTCACTTCCTGATGTAAAAATGAGCGATTTTGATTTTTCCATACTTTGAAAATTCCTTCTCTCTTAAATGTGTTACTTTATTTTTTCCAGTTTGCATGGCATGCATTTAATGTAACCTAAAATTTGTTGAAAGTTTTCATCGTCATACCACTTATGCAAATACATTTATCTAGGTGTAGCATAGGCATCGGTAGCGGGGGGGGGGTTACACACAAATGTTTTGCAAAGATATACATAATGTAGACATTAAAAATTGGGGCTTACCATGGGGAGACACTTTCAATTTGCTACCGATGGTAGTGGGTGTAGTCCAATCAAAACATCAAATAGGAAGTGCACAAGAATACTTTGTAATGACGATTTTCTGAAAGCCGTATTAAAAACCTAAAGCATGGCTGTGATGTGATGTCATTGGTATTGCAGTCCAAACATTTTACCTGAAGCAGTCGAATAATATTAATTACAAGTACTGTACAATAACATATGATTGGATTTCAACAAAATTAACAACTCCCAGGTCCATCAGATGTCCTGCATGTACCAAGCTGCTTTATGTATTTCCTACAAACATTTTAAACTGATGTGAAGGAGAAACTTTTTTATATTCATATCAATTAATTCAAAATTTCTTCAGAGAAGAAGGAAAGACCTGCCATGAGCATCAACATAACACTCAGATATATCGGTGGTGATTTATTTAAGGAATAGCTGTCTAATGTTTTGGTTTCATGATGTGATCAATCGAGTAGCGTGTGATAATTTGCATAAACGCCTTCAAAATCATCACACAATACAATTGATTGATCATCGTCAAAAAACCAAAAAACTTAGTTATTACTTATATTTACACTAAATAATCAAAATTATCGAAAAAGAAATGTAATATTCTATTCAATAATAATCGAAAGATTTTATTACACTGTGTATGTTACATTAAACAGCACAAATAGCATTTTTGCAATATCGATAACAATTATAGAATACAATGGAATATTATATAATCCGTGATGAACATTTCTGACACAATAAACGTTCGTCTGTGGATATATCTAATAAGGCTTATAACAATTCATTTTGAAAGTATCTTGTCATATTGTATATCTTCATTTCTTAGTTAAGTTATTTAATCAACTTTTATAAGTAATTCTTTCTATTAATGCATCTGTATAAATACATTTCATCTATATATGATCCAACCCATAATAGGTGGTTTATGTTATCATAGGCCAGGCTACATGGCATCTTGATGTCTAGAAATCTGAACAGTCGTAACAGAAAATGGCCGTCTTTGTCAATCACTTGTATGGAGCCTGTGTCGCCACAACACACCAGGATGTTTGATAGTACGTCTGTACAAATCCCAAATGGTAAAATTCGTAGTCCTCCTGAAGGGGGTCCGATGTAGGAGAACCGGTATCCTCCTCCGCTGTCTGTTACAACCAAAGCACCACTGTGTGAAGTTCTAAAATCTGACACAATAACATCCCCATTGCTATTCTCTGTTATGTATACAGGACAATTATTAATTGTCTGGCCATCGTCTTTGTATCGGCTAGTTTGGATCTGTAATCCTTGACTGTTGTACCGGGTTACTTTTGCTGCTGTGTGATAGTCTTTACCTATATCATACTTACCAGAACCTACCAGTAAATCTCCATTTAACGGGGAACTGTAGATACAATGTGGTCTCCATAAATCTGATCTATTTACTAGTATTGACTCTGTTGTGTTGTCTTGTGAAAGTTTGCAGATGTTATCATTTTGATTTATGTAAATGAGTTCTTTTTCTCTGGTCACTGTGTGTACACCAGTACCATTATTTGTAACTGCCAGCTGATGCAGTATGTCACCATTTGCATTGGTCAAGATTAATCTATTTTTATCACTCACCCAGATTTTGTTTGTTAATCCAAGGGAAATATGACGATACTCTTTGATACCAGTCACAACTAAAGATTTGTGAAACTCAGGTCTAAACATTTTCAGGAAAGAATCGTTTCTTATGTTGTAATGACATTTATTACATAAACAATGCAGTTAACCAATACACAAATATACAGAGATAACGAGCGCACACAGCAGCAAGTTAT